TCTCATCATTATCCTGTAATATAATACATTAATTCTCATCATTATCCTGTAATATAATACATTAATACTCATCATTATCATGTAATATAATACATTAATTCTCATCATTATCCTATAATATAATACATTAATTCTTATCATTATCCTGTAATATAATACATTAATTCTTATCATTATCCTGTAATATAATACATTATCCTGTAATATAATACATTAATTCTTATCATTATCCTGTAATATAATACATTAATTCTCATCATTATCCTGTAATATAATACAATAATTCTTATCATTATTCTGTAATATAATACATTAATACTCATCATTATCCTGTAATATAATACATTAATTCTCATCATTATCCTGTAATATAATACATTAATTCTCATCATTATCCTGTAATATAATACATTAATTCTCATCATTATCCTGTAATATAATACATTAATTCTTATCATTATCCTGTAATATAATACATTAATTCTTATCATTATCCTGTAATATAATACATTAATTCTTATCATTATCCCGTAATATAATACATTAATTCTTATCATTATCCTGTAATATAATACATTAATTCTCATTATTATCCTGTAATATAATACATTAATTCTCATCATTATCCTGTAATATAATACATTAATTCCCATCATTATCCCGTAATATAATACATTAATTCCCATCAATATCCTGTAATATAATACATTAATTCTTATCATTATCCTGTAATATAGTACATTAATTCTTATCATTATCCTGTAATAAAATACATTAATTCTTATCATTATCCTGTAATATAATACATTAATTCTCATCATTATTCTGTAATATAATACATTAATTCTCATCATTATCCCGTAATATAATACATTAATTCTTATCATTATCCTGTAATATAATACATTAATTCTCATCATTATCTTGTAATATAATACATTAATGCTCATCATTATCCTGTAATATAATACATTAATTCTCATCATTATCCCGTAATATAATACATCAATTCTCATCATTATCCTGTAATATAATACATTAATTCTCATCATTATCCTGTAATATAATACATTAATTCTTATCATTATCCTGTAATATAATACATTAATTCTTATCATTATCCTG